TGTGGCCACCTCTGGGGCAGGCGGGAATCGAACTCATGTGGAAGCGGCTTTAGATTCTCCGTGCTGTGCTTTAACCCGCTGCGCCACCAGGGAGGGCCGGATGACCTTTCTTACTTATGCTTGAGAACTCAGAAGCAGAACTTTATTGTTCTGAGACCCAACTTGTGTATAAATTGTGTGTGAAAAAAAGAAAAAGGGAGGAAGATATGTGAAAGGGAAGCAGGGAAGGGAGAGGATGGGAAATAGGGAGGGTAGAAGTACTGGTTATGGAATTAGAAATAGCCTATCTCAAAAACTGGCTTTGACTTCATTCGAGTTGCAGGTTTCTGTAGTGTAGTGTTGACATTTGCCTGACAAACTTAGTAAAATCTGTTATCATTTCTTTGATTTTCTTCTGGGAGTCCACATACATTTCCTGGCTCTGTTAACTACTTACGAAAATTCAGTATGACATCTGTGAGGACAGCAGGCTAACTGTGCTTTGACGCTTTCCATACAACATCGGAAATGGCCATTTAAATAGCAGCAAAGAAGCAAACAGAATCCAGAGAACTGAGGCTGATTGGAATCTTAAATTATGTGTTTTCAGAGGTGGATACTTGATTCATCAGATAGAAGGATTTTGCTGAATTAGGCACATTAGGTTTATAGACCCCAGAAACACAGGGCATTGTTTCATTGAAGGATTCATAAAATCTATTGATAGCAGCCTGGCCAGATAAGTAGTTTCCTGCTTGGGCCTGTTCACAAGGCGCTCCTGTTTGTCATTTGGTTGCATCCTGTGACTAAGCTACGCAATAAAATGTTGAAACTCAATGTGCTTTAATTACAAAATGACCACACCCGTGAAAGATGTAAAGTCTGATTTTAAAAATGGAGGTTTATTTCTGGTTATGATCTCATGTTCTGTCGAAACAGAATGAAACAAAACCCAAAACACACTCAAACAACATTGGATTCATTGCACTGCGCTTTTAAATACACACATCCTTGACCAGGCTGACGGTGTCTGCTCTGCGCCCTGGGGAAAGGCTGCCCTTTTCATTGATTTCACAAGGGACTTCCTAGCTGGATCTGCTCCCTAGGGATGTTAAGCAAGACTGTATTCAGGGCCAAATTGTCAACGCTGAGCTCTCAAGGTTACCCAAGAAAATGAGGAAATTCAAGAAGAAAGGGTAAAAGTAAGAAAACCAAATTTCCACGTTCCATCTTTGTCAGGTAGTATTCATCTCATAGGCAAACATTACTTGCTGTTGGCCTCTTCAATGGTTATTTGGGTATTAGTAGAATTACTAGTGTTTTCCACTCTGAATAATCTTGACTACTGAAATTTGAGTGCCATTAGAATATTTTAATACAAAATCATTGAAATGAAATTAAAATCATGTTACCTTCAAATGCTGATGCTTTAGTTTTTCTTCCTCTATTTTCAAACGTTTCTCTGAGATTTCTTCCTGTATTTTTCTTTTATCCTGAAATGAAAAAGTTCCAGAATAATTTATTTTTTTCAAATATGTTTTCCTGGGGTTGCTGTCATCAACGAATGACTGGCCAGGGATATGCTCTTGGCATTGTATGAAGTTGCGTTGGAAACTCATATTTCAAAGCAAAGGAGAGCAAAAAGAGATTTTCAAGGTCTTTTGCTGACAGAAAGTATAAAATATGCTTTTTCAAAGAGAACTTAAAAATATTTTAGCATCTTTCCCCCCTCCTCCCCAACTCCCCTTCTCAACAACTGGACGTGTCTTGTAAGATTGAACTACTAAGTGATACAGAGGAAAAACTGAATTTATTTAAGGAGGGAATTTTGAAACAGGCATGAGGAAACATTTTGAGAAGAGAGACTGTTTCTGGCATGAAGCTGAAGAATTACTGGGTAAAAGGTCTGTTTAGGTGGGAAAATAGCCTACAGAGCTTCAGGAACAACAGTCAGCCAGTATGTTAATGTATAACTTGCTATGGGAAGATGGAGCAAAAGAGGGTCACCTAACCCTTGTTAACACTAAAAGGGCTTTTAACTGGGGCTAAACTAATTTATAGAGAGACATGATATCTATCTCTAAGTTTAAATAAAATCACCTCAAAAACCCAAAATCTCAGCGCATAATGATTAATGCACAGTAGCAGTACTTTTTAGAAAATACCATATTTACATTATACAGACAGTGTGGGTTCCATTTCTGACTCTACCACTTACTGTGTCCTTAACTGTGGGGCGTCCTTGGTGGTGCAAGGGGTTACGTTGCTGTGCTATGAAGCTCTCCGCAGGCATTGCAGCACGAGTTATCCTCAGCCAAGGAGCTGACCCACATGGCACAGCAGACCTCTCCTGTCTCTCCCACTGCCCCCTTTAGAAGTTTATTTCAGTCCTGCCTGTTCTGCACCCCACTTTGTATCTGGTGAATCTTTTCACCCCCACTCACACCTCTAAACTATACTTCAGTTCTTGTATGAATAAATACATAAAACTTTAAAAAAAATTCTTAACTGCCTGTGTCTCAATGACCTACCTCATTTGTAAAATGGGGATAAAAAGGGTATCTACGTCATAAGGTATAAAGTTAAATGAGTTAGTTTATATAAAAAGTTCATAGAAATGTGTTTAACATGTAGTGCTCTTATTTTTTTTTAACAAAGCAAACATATAACCTGTTAATCATGCAGAAAGCAATACACTAATTCCGATGATACTTTCATTTGTGAAAAGCTTTAGTGACTCTTTGTTTGGAACTCATTTTATAAACTCTACAAAAAGCCTCTCTTTGTGGTGACATTGCCCTCCATCTTATTTGTAAGAGTTGGCTTTATATCTGCTTTCAAAATTGAAAACTCCCAAAGGTGGGGGACAATGGAGATAGCTAAAAGAACTTGAATCAGGCACAGAAGGTAATTTAGAAGGAAGACTTCCAAAAATATTTGGCAGCATTATTGAAATAAGTACATGGTTTCCTGATGTGACCTCCTTTGAAGATAACAACTCCTGTTTGATGTGTAAGTTCAGGTACATTTGTTGAGTAAAAACAACACGTTGCTCTTCAGCTCTGTGTCATGTCTCCCTTGGGTAAAAGAAGACATGACTTCATCCATATTATTTTTTAAATTTCATAAGGTATTGAAAAAAAAAATAGCCCAGCAGCAAGCATGGGTCTTCAAAATCACTTTTCTTTGGATGACATTTGCTGATTAGGAACAAAAACTGTGAAAACTGCGCCCTCCTTGCAGGCTTAACAAGTTTTATCACAACACTATGAAGCTATTCACAGCCACTGCAGCCTGAATTCATTCCAAGAAAGGGAGGTGACCCACATGGTGCAGCAGACCTCTCCTGCCTCTCTTGACCCTCCGCTGCTCCCCTCAGTAGTGCATTTCAGCAGATCTGCCTGTTCGGCTCCCCACTCTGTCTCTGGTGAATCCTCTTACCACCCCTGCACCACTGCCTGTACCCCAGCTCTTGTATGCATAAATAAATAAATCTTTGAAAAAGCAAACACTGAAAACCTATGTAAGCTAATTCTCCATAATATCTACAGGCTGTTACTGAGCAAATATTAGTAATATTTTAAATTTATTGTGTTAAACACTTTGGTAAATATTTTCCAGGTACTCTTTTCACCTAATAGTCATAATAACAAAGAGATATCATACTATTTTGCTTAGTAGTCATAATAACAAAGAGATATAGTAAAAGTTTTATTTTACAGAAGAGGAAAAGGGAATTTAGGGAGCTTAACTGGCTAATCCAGGTTCTTGCAACTAATAAGTGGCAGAACCAGGAATTGAACCTCAGGCAATCTGAGTTCAGCCTCCACACCATAGACAATTTACTTTACCATTTCCCTGACTGGGAAATTAGTCCAACTTTTCACAGTTTCCCTCATTGTCCTCTCTATCATGAATACTATGGCCTGGAGGCAAAACCCACACAGCCAGCAACCGGAGCAGGCCTTGTGATAGAGTCCATCTTTGCTCTCCCACCCGCTGTGTGTAGCCGGCTGCCTCTTCTCCATGGACAGCCTTCCAATGAGGACATTGTGCATGGGTGTCAGGGATGCTAAAGCCAGCAACGAGTCCCCACCCTGCAGACAGCCTGTTTGAACTGGCTTCATCTTGGGGTTAGTAATAAGGTAAAGCCATGGGCAGAGACAGGCATCTGAAGTGTTTTGGCAACAAGAAGCTTATAGACGGTTGCTAAAGAATACCAGTATTTTGCTTGTCAGCAGTAGAGAGATGCCTTTCTCATATCGGCCTAGGTAGTTAAGAAGGTAATTTTGTAATGGCGGAGGGTTGATATTAAGATAGGAGTGCATTTTCCTCATAAGATATTTATCAACAGTAAGTAATCCTTTTGTCAAATTTCATAGATCTATGAGCATGACCGAAGAATAATATGGTAATAATTTCACTTCTTTATGACAGAATAAACTTTTTTTTTTTTAAGATTATTTATGCATACAGAACTGGGGTACAGGCCAGAGGTGCAGGGCAGTGAGAGGCTTCACCAGAGACAGAGTGGGGAGCAGAACAGGCCGACTGATGAAGTACACTGCTGAGGGGAGCAGCGGGCGGGTCAGGAGAGGTCTGCGGCGCCATGTGGAGCACAGCACCTCTGTGGCAGGCGGGGTGGAACTCATACTGAAGTGACGTTAGCTTCTTAAATGACTTTCACTCCCTGCACCACCAGAATAAACTTTTAAGTCAACCTTAAATTGTGTGCCAGGCTTTATTATCAGTGTACAAGAAACTGCTTAGCCACTTCATTCCTTCCAAGTTAGTTTGACCAAATGGATCTGATAGGCCATCTTTCCAAAATTTCCTCAGAAGCTTAATCATCTCTATGGACACCTGTTATCATTTCACATATCTGCTATTAGTTAGTCTTAGCCACAATGCATAACTTATATTGCTGTTTACTTCTTCAGTGTACAGCAAATAAAACAACTGTTTTATTTCAGTGAACAGTTGCCTAGATTTTTAGCCTATTTGGAATATTTTAACAGCTTACATCCATCCACAAATTCCAATTCTGTGGAAGACTATCTCCTAATTATTTTGAAAAAAATTATTTACCTGTGTAGCAATGAACTATTGTGACTATGATACAATCATTAATTTTGCAGTTACATACTTGATAAAAGTAGACACAATACTTAGGAGTGTGAGTATTCTAGAGATATTATTAATAATCAGCTAATATTCTAACATGCCTGAATCTGTCAAGAAGGCAGGATTGAGCCTTCGCTATTTAATATTAATTTATCTAATATTTAGGTACTATGTACAAATGCTACATTGGACATGATGTTAGGAGTTACACAATGTTTAAAAATTATTCAAAAGTAGATACATTTATGAAGGAGTTTACATTCTCATAAAGAAAATCACTTGTAACTAGAAACTGAAATAAAGTGCTAAATGTTATTGTAAAGGCACAAATGATGTAGTATGAGAGTTGAAGGGAGACTCGGAGAGATCTAGTTGATATGGTTGGGAGAGGCTTTTTAGTTTTGTTGACTCCATCCATCTATCAAACATCTATTACCTCTATTTAAGGAGAGGCTTTGAAGTGGCATCTTATAGAATATTTTGAATAGTTGCTTGGGAACTGGGAGTAGGAAGAAAGGACATTCAAGTCAAAGACAGAGTGTAAACAAATTCTGGATATAGAAAATTGGGACATTATTTGGATCAGTAAGTCTAGAGTCTAAGTTGCAATATAAGAAATAGTGGAAAATAAGATAAGAGGATGAGGATAGATCCTCAGTAAGAATGTTGAGTGGCAGAACACTGGGTTTGGAATTCATGTGTGCAGTGAAATAGGGAACAATGAAAGATTTTCAGCAAAAAGGAATGATAGCGTTAAAAACGTGTTTTAAGAAGTTTAATGTAGCTTCATTGTCTGGCAGAGACTGAAGGAGGAGAGCTGGGGGAAATTAGAGTAGAATTCATACAGGAGACCTAGACAGTTGGATTAAGAAGTAGTAATGGGTATGTATGTCACAGATACCAGGGAGTTAAAATTGGCAGTGCTCGGCAACTGATGACATAGGGATGCAGAGAGAAAAGAGACCAGTGGGAGTCCTCAGCTCTTTACTGAGAGGAAAGCAGAATCCCTCACAGAAACAGGAAATTCAGGAGAAGCAAGGATGCATTTGGGAGGGAAGATAGTGGATTCCTACCAAGTTTGAGCTGTCTTTGGAAAACCAGGTGGAGTTATCTTCTAGGCAGCTGAAGTGCTGGATGGTGGGAGATCAGAGGAGGAGAGCGAGAGGAGGAGAGCGAGAGACAGAGAGTTTGGAGTTTTGGAAGGGACAGCTGATGCCAGGAGACAACATCAGAGTACCTGAGGAAAGAGTTTTTTGAAAAGAAAAAGGATACTAAGGGCAGATCACTTAAAGAGTATAGGAGGAGGGGAATTAGATGGAAGTTGATTTTAGAATCAATCAGATATTTACAAAGAACCTAGTGAGTTAGG